ACCACGACAACCGAGGTCACAAAATCTTCGTATACAATTCATCTGAAAATTGTAAGCGTTTGAGCAGAATTGCTTGATTTAGAATTGGGGGCTTTGCTACAAAGAAGCAAACTCCCTACAGTAATGTGTTCTTCGTTTACAGTAGCTAATTTACTCCTGTGAGCTTGGTTGGATTCGATTTTCCAGAATAAGTTCAGTCATCGCATTTCCATAAATCCGTTGAGTTTCATGTCTGAAGTTTGTTAAGTTGGAATGGAGGCTACGTGACAGGAGCGTAACCTAATGATTTTTCCATGAACGGAAACACTAACGTCTAACGTCCCCTGCCAGTAAAGCACTGTCGGTTCACAATGTGTTCTTCGGTGTAGCTGATAAGCATATTGTTGGTCACAAGTCGTAGCGTCGACTACTTGTTTGTTTACCCTCGATGTTATTGCAAACGATTGAGAATCGCAGCCATTCCCCTATCAATTTCATTTTCATAAAAACTACACATAGTTTTGTTGAGAAAACATTCAATGTAGGACGTCTGTTGAGATGACCTTAGTAGCTGAGTTCCCTTTTGAAGTGGCTTTTTCAAAGAGACGGAAGCCTATGATCTCCCGAGAACACTATTTGGCAGATTTTCAAGTTTGGCTTCAAGTGTATAACGGCGTGGTCAACGTTTTTCATCACTTGCATGAAAGAATATCCTCACATTCTTTCTGAACATCGTAATCGCTCCGGTACCAAACCCGTGACAATCAGTTTGCAGTGAATCAGGTAGAATATGCTCACACTTGCACGTGCACAGAAATTTAGCATGTACTGACTGAAACGAAGTATGATAGAGAGGACAAAGTCCCTGGGCGTTCATAAAGGTCATCTTTGTTTTTACGATACGAACCGACTCCCGCTGTTCTGATCACATTATCAACTCCTTTTCCCAACAGAATTTCTTCACCGCTTAACTACTTCGCTGACACTGCGCGTGCTGTCCTAGTTTCGCAACACTGACGGTGTCGGCTTTCAACTCTCCACCTGTTGCAGGTATGTGTGTAGGAAAGAGTCCAATAATGTTCTGACGTTGTGGGAAGCGATGTGTGCTCTGATGCGCCCATGGTATTTATTCCTCTTCTGCCTTATGCCGAGGTGTGGGCTTGTTGTGCGCATTCGGGACCTCCTTGCTCCCCCATCTCGGGACCAAATTATACCATTTTCAAAGTTTTTCCGGCTTCATTTTGCAGCAGTCCATTTGAGTTGGCGGCTTGCTTGTCCTATAGCTGCTTTATTCTCTCGATTGTTCGCGACTGCTTATTCAACATATTCTTAGCTAACCGATACGGTGGGAGGCTTTTCCCCGGTCCACAAGACGCGAGGACGAGGAGAGGACGCGCCAGATGGCTACGAGCATAAGCACACTGGAACTGCAACCATTTTCGATGTCGCCGATGCGTTCATTTTCTGGCAATCATATCTTCTCTTACGAAAACCTTGATCTGAGATATTTGGAGGATCTGAGGGTTGCACAAGAAGACACCAGAAGTGCACAAGAATGCACTCATACAAACGGATCACAGTCGCCACTTTTGATCTCGCCGAAGCATTCATTTTCCGGCAACGATGCTTCCTCATACAGTCCTTGAGCTGCCGGGTCCTTTTATTGCAACGATTAATGCGAGCCTACATGAAGATTAGGGTGGCAAAACTGCTTCTAATGGTCTGAAAAATTCAGAGGTATTGGTGCCGCCAACACACGAGCCAGGGAATCGATCCTGCTTCATCATCCGTAGATCTCGGCTGCAGTGCTTCTTTTTAGAGACGTTAGAATCCCTCCTATCACTGAAGAAAACTCATAATGGGCAATAATGCGGATCTTTGTACACTGAACCTTTTTCAGCCTGATTAGGACAGTTTTATAAACTGTTGCATTGACTGATAGAAAATTTCAAAGTACGGATCAAGTCTCATGATGCAGACGCAGTAAAAAATGCCACAAGCAAGCCACTGATAAGCATTCTCTCAAAAATGAGATTGTCTCTCCATTATCAGTATTTTTGACTCGCCAAATTAAGCTCCTGCCACTTGTGAGTATGTGAATATACATATGTCGCCGATGGTTCATGAAGGGTGAATCACTTATCTGCTAGACAAATCAATAGGTCCGGAAAAACATGATGACGTCAGAATGGGCATTAAACTGCTATTCTAAAATTCCAATCTAAACGTTTTGGAAAATTTGTTCTGGAACACCGTCTACTTTAACGATTGTCTCTCAAAAGTATGACCCATTTTCGCAAACCACTATGCGAGAACATGAGCTGTGCCAAGTAAAATGAGTCGTGCATAAAGAAGTATGCCTAGATTGTAGCGAACTTTACATAGGAGAAACTCCAAGGCCGCTACACAACAGGATAGTTGAGCATCCAAGAGCTTTGCGCAGTTCACAACACCACACCGAAAATCCCTTGTCCAGACATCGTACACTTCACCACTCGCAGGATAGGCCACCAAAACTTTCTGTTCCCATTCTGCAAAAAAAACCGTGGAAGATCCAGACGGAAGGAAAAAAAGGAAGCGATAGAAATAAAGAAGCCCAACCCACCGTTCAACAGCAAGGGGGATATGAAAGTGGCAATGAGCTTCTCAATACAGGACGTGCACTCAGTAGGGCAGCGTGATGAAGGCCTGATCTCTCCACTACTGTACGTATAGTAACCCGATACCAATTGGTATGTCCTACTCCCATCCCCCCTCTTCGTGAAGCTCCGGGGGACAGTACACCATCCTTTACACTACCGAGATCCCGCTTATCCTCGTCTTCTTAATGGCTCGTATGACATAGCTTATCAGCACTCACACGTACAACGTGTTTAGGCGGTCGGCCTCTATCATCACAGAACCGTTAAGCTGTAAGCTTTACTAGTTATAACTTGTTTTGGCTTAATATTTTTGTTAACTGCTATTATATCGCCGCAGTACGCGTTCCGATCTCAAAAGGTCAGCGATTCGTGGATAAAACTTCAGTCTCGTACTTGTGCTTTCGGCAACGTGCTCCATCCCTTACACTACCGAGGTGCTGTTTGTCTCGCCTTCTTAACATACCATATAACACCAGTTAACAAGACATAAAGTCTCATGGGCAAGTGTTATTCTTATTAAGCTGTTATTTGATGGTCTATGTTGTTGTAACTATGAGTGTGCTTATAATTCACTAAATCTGAAGAGGGCTTATGCCCGAAACGCTGTTAAGTAATAAATATTGAGACAAAGACAACGGCTTCACAGGAGAAGAGCATTCTGAAGCTTGAGACCGTACCGAACACCTTGTTGTACTCCACTCGTGTTGCTTTTCATTACAGACTCACTGGTGAGAAATGTTAATGGCGTCGTAAAGAAGGTGAGGACTTCCAGTAAGCTTGATCTTTCGTCCACTGTATTGCCTGTACAACTGTATTGCCTAACGTTCACATTGTTAGTCACTGATGTGCGATACTACACTATAAAACCCTTCCTACGTTATGCATGTTAATTGTCGTCTTGTGCACAATAAAACACTTTGTCTCGGAGCTGTAACACTGGCTATCAGGATGCCGAAGAATCACGACATAGCAATCGATGCTCTAGCTACATCAAAGGATGTACCACCGTGGGTTGCTCAATTTCTTGCTGTCTTTCAACAATGGAACCTACAGGTCCAACATAAGAACCAACAGGTTCAACAGCAAAACCAGGCACTCCAGCAGCAGATGTGGCAACTGATGGCTGTGCTTGTGGAGCAGAAACTAGAACCAGGGCAATCACCCACGAAAGAGCAGTTTCCTGATGTGTAGGCAGAGCTTGCGCGGGACCTCCCACATGTCAACTACGATGAAGACGACGATTCCACGTTTGACCAGTGGCAGTAGTACTAGTACGACAGAGGATCTTCACTTACCGATGACCGTAATCGGAACCTTTCCATTGATAAGCTGGATAAAGCAACATACAAGAAGTATTCGGAGCACGTCCTACCGCTGAAGCCGCGAGACATTGATTCACCCTCTACTGTCGAGACACTCGCAAGAGAACTTTGGTCCGTCGAAGCTTCGAATTCCTGCAATCTTCCTGCCCTCCACTGTCCGGAGCACACATACCATACCGTGACTTTGGCAACACAATTAAGAAAAAGTTCGAGGAGGTCTGCATGAAAGATGTCGACAGCGAATCACTCAAATGTCTCGTCTTCGTTTCTGGTATCGCAGACGCGTCACACTCAGAAATGCGACTTCGTCTACTGAACAAGATAAACCGCCTCAATGAAAGTGACCCTCTCCCAATTCTCGACGACTTCAACAGTGAGTGCGAAACGTTCGTCACATCGCGTTCGAATAATTGAACAATGGAGACAAAAATTGGTTATCCAATAGACACAAGAATGTCCCAATGACACAAGTTTGTACAAGCAGAAACAATTCTGTTTTTGAAGGCAGACCCTAGACTTTGATGTTTCTTAGTCGTTAAAGTGACAAGTTTTTATTGTTGCGAATGTTTCAGTGAGCTGTTGAAATGCTGGCCTGTAGGCGCATTTGTGGGATTTATTGAGAGAAAGAAGGCAGAGCCCATCCCGTATAGTCGTTGAAGTTGACGACAAGACGCTCAGGGAAGGAGTTGCACTACCGTGATGAGAGACAACTTAATTCTTCTTTAACGCTCATTTCGATTGTATTGCAACATGGAGGCCATCAAGTTGAGCCATATAGATGTCGCTGTTGATCGTGTATTGGCTCCCATCGTTTTTCTCATGAATGCACCAGTGTTGACTCTCCTACAACCAGTAGCCAAACGTTTGCAGGGATTCACCATGTTCCACTTCTTCCCCACCAAACACAGCACATTGCTTCCTTCATGTGGACAATCTCGCTGTTTCATCGGTGACATTTGGTTGGCTTACACCAGTTTTTTTCCAACCACCGCCCTTGTTGTCATGCTCTTATCCTTTTCACTCCTTCCAGGCGTCCCAAATGGACAAAATCCGATGGCCGACCTCTTAATAGATCGTCTTCCAAGCTGGTTCCACCTGGTTCGAATAGTGCAAAAGCATTCCCAAGTCTACCATCCACTGATTGTACTTTAGCCGAAGAGATCAGTGATATCGCGGAATGGCTGTACAGCTGTCCACTCTTTTTCATAGTGGTAAGGCATAAAATGCGAGTGCGAATATGGTTCTCAGTACATATGTGTTCCTACAAATTCAATATAAAAGAGAGAACAAAACCACTGCCGCATGATATGGTCAGAAACATTTCCAGAATTCTATCAATATCACTTACGAGGTTGTCGATAAATCTAGGAAAAACGCTTTTGCTTATCTGAAGTAGGTGGGAAATTGGTGCTTCAAAAGCTTTTGCTCGGATTCCTTTTACACAGCGAAATTTTTGAAAATGCTTTCTTATCGAACATTCGATAACTGAAGAGCACAATACTTCTGAAAGAGACATTGTCTCATCACAATCAAATTCAAAAAATTTGTTCTTTTTTCCGAAAACATAATCTTAACAGCCAGCCCTGACAGCTTTTACTACATTTCATGCGGAACATAGAGAATCCAAGACAATATGTCTAAGTGGAATTTGCAAAATCCTAACAATCACAATAAACTTTAACTAACAACACAACAAAGCCGTAATGATTTCAGGCAGCGCACTTCTGTAGCTGTTGCTGCTGAACTGTATACAAGTATGAAAATCTTATAGAATTTCATAAAAACAAATCTACAGCATGGAAAATTTCTGTCACATCCATTGAGGTAATCAAAATAAATCAAAGACTGTCAGCAACTCAGCTCCTACTGGAATCAAACAAAGAGTTCAGAATGATAGGAAGCTTTGATATTGTGGTATCTCACCTTCAGTACTAGTTTGGAAATTATTTAACGACCTAATAAAATCCTGCCTCAAGCACCGGATTACAAAATGAATTTGATTACCAACAATCTATAGAACAGACAGAAATAGATGAAATGACTAAATGTTCAATGAAGTGCCTCCACAGCTTTTTCGGCAGCATCAGAGAGATCTCCAGCAGTGATAATTGGCAACCCAGATTTTTCCAATGTGTTACGAGCCTCATCCACATTTGTTCCTGGATATTGTAGCAACATTATTATACACATCATGTATTAAGCATTGTATTCCAAATGTGATACAAGATATCCGGAAAAATTCAATACTATGCAAAATTATCGAAAAAACCACTTTGGGTTTTTTNTTTTTTATAATTGCGCACAGTATTGGACAAATACCATACAGTAAATAAGGTATTTATCGAAAAGACGTGCTCCATCATATGCAGGGCCTAAGGATCGAATCCCAGACCGATACTTGCCTAGGTCAACCAATGATCCCATTTAATCACCTTCCATTTACCCCTCTGTTCCCTGATTGTCGTTGAAATTTTCAGAGTTATGCAAGATTTTATCTAACCAACTGGTTTCCTTACCCTGTTCACTCAGTCTGTATAACTATAACCGTTACCTCTTGCCTATTGAATTTTTGCCTAAACGTCACTGCCAAATGGTACTATAAGTGATGCAAATCCGATCGCGCTGATCAAATGGAATCAGCCGAAGCGAACACGTTGATTTCCCATCGTTACTTATTGTTAGTACCAGTCACTGATGTCACCATTTTCTCAATGTCCCTTTCTAAGCCCAGCTTCTGGTGGCTGATTTTGCATTTGCGAGTGTGACGCTATTACTTCTTCATGAGCACTCCATCCAGTGTTTCTCAAACTTTAATTCAGCACAGAAGATGCTTGTTAAGTGAAGTTCCCATAGCCGGTTTGAATATTGCGTTAGCCCATCATGTTCAGAGGCGAGTACGTGCTCTAACGTAGAGCGGAACGACGCAACACTTGTCACTTGTTGTTAAACCACTTATTTTCTACGTTAACATTCATTCGCTGATAATAAGTGACAAGGACCGACTACATTCCGAGTCCACATCCAAGGTGTCCTTTCGAAAAAAAAAAAACGTCATCAAAACTTTTGAGACTATCACGTAGAGTTTCGGACAATAAATGCATGACTTCGTCTGACTTTCTGAATAAGTTATTCATTTCATAGGCATTACGGAGCCATAGCAGTTGGGTAAACCTGAGATGCGAGATCCTTGTTTGTCGACGACAAAATTGGCAACCAGTGGTAATTTCTAAGACCAAACTTTTTTGCGGAGACGATGTAGTGGCAAGTAGCGCACTATCCCACACACACGGTCATGGGGTCATGGGTTCGAATCCCGCATCGATATCTGCCTAGACCATTCACGTCTTCACCTCCCCGGGGTCGGTTGATTCGTACCCGGGCTAGCCTGGGAGGATAAAAGCACTGGTTCGAAAATCGGCTGACCACTGTAAGGCATTGTATAGATCACATGCGCATTTGATACGCCTCTACGATTCTGAGTGGAATTTGAATGCGGAGCGCATCCTTCCGAAAGGATTGATTGCGCCAAAGGCTTTATCATTTATCCTTTGGGACCTATAGACCTGCATCGACCGACTGACGATTACGTAGAATGAAGATGCAGGCTTTTGACTTTGAAATAATGTGTTTCTGTTCTTGAAAATCCAAAAGAACTTAATTTTGGGATTGCCATTGCATTTGCACGACCTCAGGGCGCAATTACATGTTCATCACGTCACCTAAGTCACTACCAGTACCGGTTTTTTAGCAGTCCTCTTTTAAGTCTATAATTCCTCACCCGTGGAAGGTTTCTCATCGATCCTACTCACAACGAACATCAACGAGTTTCAGATGCGTGTTGAAATTGATCTCCTTTCGTATTATTTCGACACCTTCATCAATTTATTGGGTATTATATTCAACAGCGTCTTACTGTATGTCGTCTGTCGACATACACCACGAAAAATGCGTACCTATTCAGTGCTCATCATCAACACTATTATAGCTGACTTTCTGATTGCTCTATGTGGTTTCCTGACTTCTAACAGGTACGTTCTCAGTAAACCAGGCGGCTACGCACGCTCTCGCGCGCGCTAGGGGCTCTAGCCATGAGAGACGGAGCCGCATGAGCTGATTTTCATTACAGACCTTTATCGGATTTATGAGTTTCCGCTCAAACCTCGCCTCCTGTGGGCGGAGTCTGGTCCTGCCACCCACCATAAGTGTTCCCATCCTGTCGCCTGTACTCCTACC